CCTATCTGAGGGATCCTTGGTACTGTCTGAGCTTGTTTACTTGCAGACATTTCATCATCCAAACTAGGTAACTTAATCAGTGCTTAGTAGTTCCCCAATCTTTTCAGCTTTGTGGATCGGCGGGGGGTGGGGGGTGGGATGATGTTAATATGCTCCTACTGCAGGAGCCATTCAGTAGGCAAGCTGCCACATTCTAGACCAGGGGTGTCAAACTTGATTTCATTGAGTGCTTCATCAGGGTTGTGTTTGACCTTGAGGGGCCGTGGTGGGCGTGGCCAGACTGACATCACTCATGATGGGGGCACCTGTGGTGGCCCAAGCACTCTGCCAGCGAAAATAGGGTCCCGAGCTCCATTTTTGGCTGCCACGGCCTCCTAAAACTGTCTGTCAGTTTTCACTGTTTTCACTGGCAGAAGGTTGCAGGAGGCCATGACAGCCGAAAATGGAGCTCGGGAGCCTGTTTTCGCTGGTAGAAGCACCACAGGCCGGTCCTTTGCTGTTTCCAGGGCAGCCCCGCAGGCTAGATCTAAGTACCCTGAGGGCTTGATCCAGCCCCTGGACCTTGAGTTTGACACCCCTGTTCTAGACATTTGCAATTTTGGAATAAACTATAAAGGTGGGCCTAGGTAAAATGCATAATAATAAGAACACAGATTACAATAGCCAGGTTCTCTGCATTAAGTACGACTGCAACTGGCACATCAACTATCACAAAGATATCCTTATATATAGTCACTATCTGTTGTTCTAGCAATGTTTTACCTACATTGGATTAAAAAGGATTTCTGGTAAGCTGTTTGGATAATGAAGAAAAGTGTTTGAGAAACATTAGGATAATCCATTTTACACAGTATCCCAAAATTGGGCCACTAATCTTTCTGTTTGTTTAGTCATGATTTTCATGACTAAACTAACCTGTGACCCATTGGGCCATTTCAGAGAGATTTCCTTACATAATGAGAAAAAAAGGAGCAGGAGCAAGCAAAAAAGCAGAGGGGGCAAGATCAATTTCCTGCTGGCTTCTTCATTAACTTTGTTTGTGTGGGAAGCTGGCTGAAAGAGCCAGAAATCCATCCATCCATCCATCCTCCCTCCCTCCATCTGTATTTACTTCTGATTTGGGACAAAATGCCCCACAGTGAATGATAAACAACTATAGTGTGTTACTTAACAACTGTCATGAAAAAAGGTTGTGAAATCAGGTCAGTCATGTGATGATCTCTTTATAATCATCATGACCTATGACTATATCTGAAATTTAATTGCCGAGGACAGGGTTCGCCAACTGTTTGGTCACCAAACTTATGTTAAATCCCGCGGACCACTAATATGAATTTTGACTGACAGTAGCTTGCTGACGTTGGTGGGAAATTTGGTCCCATATTCCAGAGCTGCAGTAGTCACAGGACTGGCCCTTTGGTCATCCTGGAGCAGCTGCTCCTTCACCTGGGTGCACTGGCCTGCCATGGACTGGAGGAGCTGCTCCGGGATGACCAAAGGGCCAGTCTTGTGACTACTGCAGCTCTGGAATATGGGATCGACTTTCCCACCAACGCCACCAAGCCACCCCGGGATGGATTTCCCTCCCTTGCCGTTGGTCTTACCTTCCAGGTCCAGCTCACGTGGCTCTACTCAACGTAAGGTTTATGCTCGGCTGAAGGGTGGGGGCCAGTGGGTGGGCAGGCCATGTGGGTGGTACAGCCTTGTGTTCCTGCACATCCTGGATTAATTACTTTGGGGGGAGTACTTAGGGGGAACATTTCTCTGCAGATCAAAATTTTCTTGCGGACCACCAGTGGTCCCTGGCCCACCAGTTGGCAACCACTGGCCTAGGAGAAAAACCGAAACTTCTTGCTCTAAGGAACAAATAAGATTTCTAAGAACTGATGCTATGAGCTCCATGTGTTGTCCTTATAGGTAATTCACTGATTTGGGCAAAGGTGAAGGGTGAAATATGAGAAATGTTAGAACAATATCTGGGAATGGAGTAGGGGAAGGGATTGACTGAACTGTAATGAAAGTGAGAAACTCTGGTTCTATCAGTTTGGACATCTAGGTTTCAGATTCTCCAGAAGAGTATGCCTTAATATGAGTATATTAAGAACATTCAAAACTAAAATCTTTCTTTTAACACAACATTTTTAATGTATTAAATACTCTTAAAATTAATTCAATGAAATGTTTTAAACACTAGCAAACAAGTCTGCATGATGTCTATGAAGATTCTCAATCATCCAGGTTATGGTTGTCCCAACCATAACAGAACATGTCTGCATGATATTAAACATAAAGTGCCTACAAAGCAGATTTTTTTCCTGGTTATTTTCCATAGTTAGCTACTTTATGTTTTGAGTGAATAATACAGAGAATTGTATAGTAATATGGGATTAGCTTTTCAAAATTTAAAAAAATAAAATCTCATTGCATTATTCATAAATGAGGAAACTCAGATTCGAAGTGATTTGAATTCCAAAATTCAGGAGAGTAACTTCATCTAACTTACAGTTATAAAACAGCTTATTATTTGATTAGGTTAATTGTTTATTAATTAGAACCATATAAAAAATAAAATAAAAATAAAATACAAGATATAATTCTTGAGTAAAATAGATAAAAGAAAACACACTAATAAAATGCATATGTGGTATTCAGAAAAATACATCATCTTTACAGAATACCCCAATTCTGTTCGATATAATGGGCTCTTATCTCAACTGCTTTAATTATAAACTTTTGCTCACAATGTATACATTATTGCCCAGGAGGAAATAAAGTAATCTACAATTTAGATCCCAGTGGGCTCTGAAGTTCTATCAGATGGGGATGTTATGTATCTTCGCCTAAGATATTCTTAGCATACAGTTGACAGTATGAGCATAACATATAGTGCATAATTCTGCATATCATTTTGAAGTGCTTGATATCAACAAGTAATGTTGAATAATAGTATGTTTGATTTTGCAAAAATATGCCAAGGTATATAAACATAGTGATGTCATAGATAAATGGGTGTCTAGGTGCTTTTGTTTAACCCTACTGAGCACAACTATAATGTTTCTGTTTCAGCACCTTACTATACTCAAGTTTAAATGAAGAACTCTTTACTGATATCCATCCTAAATTAGTACTGACAACTATGCCCCCTCCCCACCACCTTCAAAGTTATGAAACTATTTGGGGATTCAAATTGCTTGCAGGAAACACTTCATTTTAGATATTATGTCTCTTCAATAGGATATGCAAAACATCCTGAATCCAAAAGATTCCAACTTTATTCATCCTTCTAGAAATATTCTGAGTTCTGAATATTTTTAGAATGATTATAACATAAAAACAGCATTGATAACATCAAAACAGTTATATGGAATAAGATGTTTTGAGCATGATACTTTTCAATTCCGAAACATTTTACACTAGTTAAATTGCTCATATAATTAACTACCTGATTATTTTCTATGATTTTTTCTTTACTGTTAGTGGAAAACAAAAGGACTTAAAGCATGACAGCAAATAATTTCTATATCCCCCTTTCCCTTAGATTGCAGAAATAAATCAGATTATAGGAGTACTGAACATGTCACTATATATGACAAAAATAGACTGGTAATCAGGCGTGGGATTCTACCAGTTCTGTCTGGCTCTGTAGAACCAGTAGCTCTGAAGAGCAGCAGACACAGAACCGGTTCTATGTCTGCTGATATTTTGGCCCACCCGCCTGCCCAGGCTCTTACCTGGCCTTTATTTCCTGCTTTTTCAAACTCAGCTGCTGTGTGAGGCACAGCTCCAGTTGAAAAAGCAGGAAAAAAGTGCTGTTTCAAACGCTGCTTCTCTGCACTCAGTGCTGGTAAGCTGTCCAGGCAGCAAGCTGATGACGATTTACAGGCACACAGCATGCAGGGAAGCACATTGTAAATCACCAAACCTCGTAAATCACTGAACCGGTAGTTAACCCTGTCGGATCCCACCCCTGCTGGTAATAATCATGCCCTTTCAAGTTGTTGCTAATGCTTAACAACCACATAGATTTTCCTTAGGAGAACAAAAATAGACCAAAGTATATTTTCACTGTACATACTTTGCCTTTTCCTCTATAGTACTTTATAATAGTGGTTCAGATTATAAGGCTATTAGATGTATATTTCAGAAATGCAGGGCAAAAGCTTGGATCAAATGTGGTTATGTTTTGAGAAGACTTCTGCAATCAACGGAACAGATAATTTAAATAAGTAATTAACAGTTGATTTTAACAGATCTATCTTAAACATGATTTAATTCTTGGTCAACACTAGTGTCAATTTCAAAGTTTGAGGGGCCCTTTATCTTGAATATCCTTCATTGTGACCAGGAACAATGAAAGAAAATCATTCTATAACCCTTACATGCCAGGAAGATTTTTTTTTCTTTTTATGACTTTATAATCCCTTAATTTGTTGGTGCTAGGTGGCCAGTAAATGCAGACTTTTTTTGCACCCTACAAAAGAAATATCTGCTGCTATCTAGGATTGAACTGTCAACCTTCTGAATGGGAGGCAAGTGTCTTCACCACTAGGCCACCATGCCGCTAGGAAGAATAAGTAACAATAAATGTGGTTGCTGAAGAATTGACAGCATCTTTTTTGTTTCCTTTACCCTACCAAAAGTCTTCAGAACTTGAAGGCTACTTAATGAATTAAGAAATTGAGAGGGAGAAATTAGCCTACGGCCAAACACTACCATTGTTTTCACAGTCCACTTATTTATTAAATTAATTAATAAATAAATAAATAATAAATAAATAAATAAATGCATATAAAATAAGCAGCTTCCACAAAAATATATTTTAGTACTATAGATGAAAACATAAATTCAAAATCAAAGACAAATTATTCTTCTATAGCAATACATGGTTTGTATCATAGAACTTTACTAATACTGTTAAGGTTCTGGATAACTTTACAATGCATTACACTTTTTATTTGAATGTTTCATTTTTGAATGGCATTTTAAAAATATCTACTTGCCTAGCAAAACCTTGGCATCTTCCATATCAAAATCACCATCGCCATCAGCATCATAGATCCCAAGTTTTCCTAATGGGGAAGAAATGAATCTGTTTCAGAACCTTTGAATGATGGAAGAAAATTAGCAAAGAAAAAAAGAGTAATTGAATATTTTTTACTAGAATCTTAAATGCAAATACAAGCTATTTTGAATATATATATATATATATTGAATACATGTTGCTTCTTCTTAAAATAATGTATATTAGTATTTGAATCCAAAATCCCTTCATAATGCTAAAATGACATCACAGTATTTCCTAACATTAAAGAAACAATTTTGCATTTGATAGACACATTTATACAAAATAAATATACAATAACTTTGACCCTATTCTTTTCACATCAGTGGAAACTTTTCACTTCAACAGGAATATTACTCTTCTCACCAAATTATTAATAATATATTGTGTACTATGCATGTATGATTGTGTGCTAATATATTTACATATCTATTCCCTAAATAGGCAGGTTCTGAGTTCAGAAACTTTGCAGTCAGGCAGATAGAAGCAATGTAGAGATATACTTGCTTCAAAGTAAATTTGTGAAATAGGAATAGCTGAAGATATCCAATATTTTACTTAATGAGGAACACATGTCAAGTTGGCAAAAACTAGGGACTACTGTTTACTGAAAGGGGAAAAAAAACTGTTCAGATTTGCTAAAAGGTTGCCCAAGAGGCAACTCTTAACCATTTCAAATAGTCAAATCACCTCAAAAAAGATACAAAAAACCAGAAAATTCCTCTAAAACCTAATTTGCTATACAGTTTCGAACTAATGTCATAACTGAGCTTCCAGACGTCTCTAAATTAAGATAGCTACTGGATTTCATAGATCTCTCTACTAGTGGATTATAATAACTCTCAGCTGCTATTTGTGTTTATTTTTTCTGTACTGTATTTTAACTGTTTTTAGATCTACGGAGTCTCAGTCATCCAGTTCATGGTTGTCCCAAAAGTGTTTTTATTTTCAAGAAGCAACTGGACTTTCTTTATTTTTCCTCAAAGACTTTCAGGTCCTTAGAGTTCTGGAACTGAAGAAGCTTCTTAGATGAGAAGCAAAACATCTTCAAAGAAAAACAAAAGAAATCCAGTTGCCTCTTGAAAAAGCACCTTTGGGACAATTATTTTTATGATTATTTGCTAGCCAATCATTTGTCTGAGATGCGTAGCTGTACAAACTGAATAAATAAAGAACTAAAATAAGAATAAAATCATCCTTTGCAAACATGGATTATTGAGTAAATCACAATTGATTGAATTTACAGAACACAAGATAGATAAAATGAAATGTACTATATTATGGCTTAGTAAGGTTATCAATTCAGTTAGTTGCTGCACACATTTTTTGAGGAAGTGCAAATCATCTGAAATAGATCCTTTATAAAAGTGTTAGAATGAGCAAAGTATTCCTCTTAATTGTATTAAAAGGACCAGTGGAAGGCTTGCCCAGCTGTTTCAACAGTTGTCCCTTGTGGGAACCATCAGTAAAGCGAAGTGGCTGTGCATGACAAGATTAAAAAAAAGAACCAGGAACAGTCTTCATAGCATTTTGAAAAATGTATTGCTTTAAGGCTGTTTAATTAATTAGGACAAACACTTTCTACAAAAAAAAACCTCTTTTAAATGTTTTATATACCCAGTTTTAAAATAAAGCAGAATAGTACTTTTCTAAACATTTTCTTTTCATATAATCATTTCCATCAAAATGCCAATAAATTATTAAAATCTAAAGAACAGGGGAAAATGTTTCACAGATTCTGTCAAGAACTCCTTTGATTTTCACAGCCTTGATTTTGGAGGTTATAAGTTTCCCTATACCCAGTTCACAACAATAAACAAATGGAAAGTTTGATACAGGGAAGAAAAACACAGTTTCGTTTTGTTTCACAAATTCCTAGTCCCCTGCCCTGCCCCAATTAAAACCAAGACAATTAGGCAAGTGGTGACAATCTAAGCAAATGTCCCCAAACTTTTTAAGGAAAAAGAAAACAAAAGCCACTATCGTGGTTAAGTTATTCACATAAGTTTGCCAATGGCATTAAAATATTGAACAATTTTATTTACAAAATTAAATATCAATAGCAAAACACTATTCAGGTGATCTGCATCTTCCTGCTACTTATTTCTTCTTTTCTGAATCAATTCCACAAACTAAGGGAAAGAAGCTAAACATTGCACATTCAAAAACAATGTAAAAGAAGGGAAAAAGGAAATGTAAATCAAATAAAATCTGTCCCGTCCTCTTCAGGAGTCAAAAACAAAGTGTAACAGTACATTTTCTTACTAAAATTAATTTCACCACAGCTTCAGAAGTTATCTGGAAATAAAAGCATCTTGGCTAGGGAGAAAGAAAAATAGCTATTTATAAATCAACCCCACAAAGTATAACATATGATATAAACATTCCTTTATAATCCTACCTTGAAGTACTTCTGATAAGTTATAACGGAAGTCCTTTGCCTTGGCTGCATGCATGGCAAAAATATAGATACAATTACGCACATTATCAGAATCCACAAAATTGTCCACCCTTTCAATCTGCAAATTTATCTTTTCTCTGGCCCACTTGGACTTAATATACTAGATACAATATATCTAACTCTACTTTCCTAATCTAATTGCTTGCATTTTAATATTTATTTTGTGCCTTCAAGTCAGTCTTATCTCTTGGTGACTAAAGAGTCAGGTTGGTGCAGTTTTCTGGTACCATTTTTAGAAATGTTTATCACTGCCTTATTTCTAGGGCTCAGACAGAGTGAATGGCCCAAAATCGCCCAAATGGTTTAACGCCTAGAGCAGGACTAGAACTTTTGTTTCCATGTTCCTAGTCCCAACACTTCTCCAAACTGGCTTTCTTGCTTTGATTGTTTTTACTAAAAAAATGAATAACAAAAATGAGTAACAAAAAATGAAAAGAATTTACTATTGCTAAAGTTTTGAACCAGATTTTAATATTAATAGGAGGAACTGGAGAAACATCTGCAGGGCCACTGTGAATAGGCATCAGTTGAATAAAGTTGCTTAGATTTGCACTAAATTGGAATCCAGCTGAACAGATCCTACAGAGCAATCCTACAATTGCTTAGTTAATCTGAGCAATTTCAGACAGGTGATCCTATGGAAGTGGTCAGAATTTTTACTGCGTTCAGCTCTGCCACCTATGTTCTGGATTTTGCCTTTCCTGGCTGTCTAAGGTTTCATAGAAAGTGATATGTGATTGGGTCCGAACAGTACTTAATGCCACTTTGAGAAAGAACATAGAAAATAGAAGACAAAAGTGTGTAAGATATGTTGAGTTATCTATAAAAATAACAAAGCTTGGATACAAATAAATAAATATTGTGCTCATTCCTAGACCAAAAGTCTCAGATCATGGTCACTTGTGCCTTACTCATGTCCTATGTGGACAACTGCAATGCACTCACTCTACATGGAGCTATTCTTGAAGACCACCCTCAACCAGTCCAAAATGCAGCAGCAGTTCTGGCTTGCCCAGTTTGCCAGAATTGCACCACTATTGTGTAAGTTGCCTGGACACCTTTTTCTTTCTAGATGGAATTTAAGTAGCTGTTCGTTAACTTTATAGCACACGGTCAGTTTAGTTAAGCAAATACCTCTTCCTGAGGATATCCTCCCAGATTGGATAGGTGGGTGAGCTCCAGGTCTATTAAATCTTACCATTTTATGGGGCCTAGGAAGCAAACCTTTTCCCATAGTGGCACCTAACCTATAGATAAGACTCCATGCTCAGATATAGAGAACCGCTAAGCTCATGGCCTCCTTCAATGAGGTTGTGGCCAGGTTGTGTTCTTGTGATGGAGCATTATGGCTACTGCTGGTATGTAAGAATTTTTAATTTCATTGTATTTTTCTTATATGTATGCCTGTTGGCTGCTGTGGGTTATTTTCTATAACATGAGAAACCATTAAAATGTTTTTTATTCATACAGAAATGTTTAAAAATGTATTTATTCATACATAAATGAATAAATATAGGAATAGCAAAGTTTTTAGGAAATTGAATCTTAAGATATTATCATGACTAAATTCTTACCTAGTACTTCCTCGTAATCAACAAGTTCAAACCAAACCACTGCAACTGATGTCCATACTCCCAGAAGTGCAATTACCATGAACCATGTAAAAAAAGAGCTCCCAGAAGCTCCTTCTTTCTTGGCACTCTTGTTTCCACCATGTTTTGCTTCTGTAAGATAAAAAAATGAAGCATTATCAGAAGTTAAAAACTTTGGAAATGAATTACTAAATAAAATTCATAACATAAACTGTAATGTTACTATTAAATACATGACACTATTTTTAAAGTTTGTTCACAGATTTAAAAAGTATAAATTAATTGGCTTCAAAGTTATTTTAATATACAGCATATATTTCCTATTTGGTAGGAAGTAGTCAATGTTATGTTAACTAGGGAAGTATTTTCCAGATTAGAAATCTAGGTAATACAGTTCTCATTGTGTATGACAATTGTCATGCGGTTCCTATTGTGCTATATAATCATTTGTTGCACTGTTTGCCTAATAACTTTGTAGTCTGTCACACTGATTAGTAGACAATTATGATAACAACAAAGGGTGGGGCTGGGTATAAAATAGAAGGCAGGGGCGTGGAATTTCCTAGCTTACCTATCACTAACTATAATATTTTACCTTGATTGATATGGTGACAACAGGGTTAATCAAGATATTATACAGATGTGTATTATGAGTATTGGTGGCTATTGATTGGGGACTGGGACACTGAATGCAAGGCAGAAGTGTCCCCAAAGTCTGAATCATCAGTCAAGGAGATGATTTGATTGAGTTGTGTAATATGGAGATGACATGACTGGGAGAGGGTGGGGGTGGGGGAGACAGTTATAGAGAGAACATATAATTGGGAATGGGTGTTAAAAGCAGGAAATAAAATCCAAGTGGTAAGATGTGCATGGCAAGAGAAAGAGATGGAGTAGTCCTCAGGAGAAGTGCTTACTGGTAATCTTATTCTCCAGTTCCCTGACTCTACCTCTTTGCCTGGTAATTCGAGATTAGGACCCACCAGTTGCTGCAACTTAATTCCTAAGAAAGTAGAGCAGGTCCCAATAAAGGAGAATAAATGTAGCTCGGGATTGAAATGAGGGGTCTTTGGTGCTTTCTGAGCTTGCTTATTTTCTTGCAGACATTTCATTACCATAACTAGGTAAACTAGACAGGCACTGATAATCTTCCTAGTTAGGGTAATGAACCGCCTGCAAGAAAACAAGCAAGCTCAGAGCGCAGCATGGACCCCTCGTACAGAAGGTCCTTGGGACTGTAAGCCCACCTGTATTTTAAATCCATGTCCTTCCTTGTTGGTCAAGACCTCCCAGGAGTTGACATATGATCAGATCCAAGTACTGAATACATCTTTCAGAAAAGGGATGATTTTACTAGGTATGAAGGTGATGGGAGTCTACCCCCTTCTCAAGAAACCATCACTCCAACAGAGCTGGATAATTTACCAGTTTGCAACCATCTCTTTTCAAGGTAATTAGGCTGCAATCTCTAAGGATCATGAAGAAAATAGATTTTATGTATCTCTTTAGGTCTGGCTTCTGACCAGGATATAAGGCTGAGATAGCATTGGTTGCCCTTTGTGATGACATGGCAGGCTCAAGATAGGAACAGTACATTCCTTCTGACTCTTTTTGATTTCTCAGCAGTCTTTCATACCATCAATCACAATTATATCTGAGTAGCTTGGGGGCTTGGAAGCATTCTCCTTTCTCCAGGGCCAACTGCAATTTATATCAATAAGGAAGAAATCTAATTCTAACATCTGCTTTGTAGAGTGTCTCAGGGCTCCTGTCTCTCTTCCCCCTCTCATTTTAATATCCACATGAATCCACTGTGGGAAGTCAGCTAACTACTGTTAGTATGCTGATAATAAACTCAGTTGAATATCTCCGCCATTGGCCAACCAAGGCAGCAGGCCAGGTTATTTGCAGAATTACCTATCTCTAGTTATTTCTGCCCAAAGCACTAACTGCATAAGGTAGGCGTGCTCCAGTTCTCCTCTTCAAGAACCATTTAATGGTATCATTTGAGACATGCCTTCTTTGTTACAATGCTTGATGTTCAAAATGACTTTCCCCTCTCTGTAGTTCAGATATCCTTTTGTAGAGCTGTGAAGACTCCCATATCTTGGGACTGGATGGTACCTGAGCCCATCCTGTTGGAAAGATGAGTGGTTTTTATTCCCTGACTCAGCTGTTTATATGTAAATTATTGTATTTTTAAGAGAATTGTATAATATTTTGGAAACAAATTTAAATTTATTTTGGAAGTGATTTTTCTTTGTTGAAAGTAACATTATTGGCAATATAAACAAGAAAAATAAATAACAAATGAATATAAATTATTTTCTCAACTTATTTTCCTTTCTATTTTCTTTCTACTTTCATTGTCTCACCTTTCTAGAAAACCCCATTAATGATATTTTCCTCTTTTCAAATCATATAATGCATGTGCATACAAGACTTGCACCAACTAATTTAAATGTTAAAGCTACGCTTATTCTTAGTCTGATCCGTGCCTTGGGTTTCTTTTATTTAGATCAGACACACATAATCCAGTATATAGTATTTTTAAACATATATTTATATTTCTTATGCTTGCAATCAGTTTAAAATATACTGGAATGCTGCAGTTTCATGTTTTTTATTCACAGTACCGTAAAATTTTATTATTTATTCACAGTATTATTATTCATAGTACCGTAAAATATTAAATATTATAAATGTCCATAGAAAACACTGAAGGGCAGAGAGAGAGAAAAAACAGAAAGGAGAGAGAGAGAGAACTGGTGTGTTTTAAATACAAATATCTAGGTAAAATACGTTTGGGCTCATATAAATGAAAATATTTTCATATAATGTTCTCTGAACTGAACTATTTGGTATTTCTAAAGATATCACAATTTTATATTTATTTTTAGAACAATGAAACCATAACTGTGATGGTCATGCAAATCACTTATGCCTTCAAATATTTACTGGAAGTCTTTTCTTAGAAATCACATAAAAATCACTTTTTTAAAACCCTGCCTTTAAATTTATCAAATGGCATTTAACAAAGCCAAAAGTACTCATTAAAAACTATTTACAATTTAAACTAATTCCTCAGAGCTAAAACAAAATTACTATCTTTCACACAGATACTGCCAGGAATCAGAAACTAGGTCAATGTCCAAACTTGGTGTGCTTTTGCTTTCATCCACCACTTGTTTAAAGCAATACAATTATGCATTAACATTATGTCAAGAAATAATTTTAATTGTTTTAATTGTATGATATTGATTCTGCTACACTTTTATAGTATTGTACTTTGTTATTAAAATGATCTATGTTCATCACTGTTTAAAAGAATCCTAAAATCGAGTATCTTGTGTAATGGGAACATACAATAAATGAGATTTTAAGTACAATAAACTTAAAAATTCCATTTAATTTTTAGGTAACAGTATTTTAAATTTTGCTACTCAATTTGAAAGTCATAAACACATTCAATTTTCCAAGAGACATACCTGAATATTCAGCCATGCTATCAGAAGCTTTTATCCATGAATAAAATACACTTTAATATAAAACCAGCGTCCAAGATACAAACAGCAAAATTCACTTTCACTCTCTTGCGACAGTAGCAAAGGAAGATCTTTATGGCCAACTCAGCTAAACCCCGAAATTAGACCCGACTGCAAACTCTGCTCAAAGGCTATTTTTAGTGCAGCCATCACAAGCTAAATGCTTTTATGTACCCATATTGAAACCCAGCACTGACAGCAATCAAGTTTACCCTCTCCTACTAACAAAGCATCCTGGGTAATAGGTTTTTTTTCTGTCTCATTTAATCTCTAAACATCAGCATACCAGAAAAGCAAAATGGAACAGATTTTTTTTTTTTTAAAAAAAAGCATGCCTCAGCAACTAAAATATAAGAACATCAAATCTTCTATACAAACTCAGACAAAAGTCCTGGTACAAAGCTTGTCTGTCCAATCTGGGTATCAGACAGTCATTCTTACCTGATGCTGTTGATTTTAAGTAACTTATTTATAAACTAACAAACAACTGATTCAATTTCATGTCTAATTACAAGATATTGTTCTGAATAAAATTTCCTTCAATGGCAGCACTGAACAATAACTAGTAATAAGTTAAAGCACAGCCTTCATTACAAAAAATCCAATATGTCCATAACATTTCACAAAATGTTAAAATTTAGAGACTTCTTGTTACCAATTTGTCAAGCAAGAAAGTGACAGGAAGCTAAAATACATTTTAATTACTGTATATAAACCAAACTTTGAGTGAGAAATGTAACAGAGTATGAGCCCACAGTGCAACATTAAGCAATCTTTAGGCTGCCCCTATAAGAATCCTCCCCCTTTCTCTCCCCCATAAAATAATATTAAGATTACTTCACAACTACTTAATCTGGGCTGTTGAATTCCAGCCCAAATATTAAAGATTCAGCAATGCTGGAATATCTTCCAAACCTTGCTTGCCTTACTGCTTACTGCTGTTATTAATAGTGAGCCCAATTTTTGTTGATAAGCAAGATAGTTACCATGTTTCTTCAACAATACGGCCTCCGCCAATAGGAAGGCCGAGCATGATTTCTAGGCATGAGGTGATATTAAGTCCCGCCCCCCAAATTTAGGCCTATTTAAACCATGCATTTCCCCATTTCTCACATCATTTGTTAGAACTACACGAGGTGAAGAGAAATGGGGGGGAAGGGCGGGGGGATGGGGAGAAAACTTGCCTTTAGGAGTGCCCTGCAGGTAGCCTAGGCTAGAATACCCCGATAGCCGATAGAAGCTCCCTGAAGGCAGAGTCCCCAGCCGCTTCAGGGCGAGGCGTGGCTGCCCATGTCCCCTCGCCTTTAGGGCAGTCTCTTTCGGGCGATGAAAGCTCCCCTGTTAAAGTCACCAGCCACTTCGATAGGCCGGTAGAAGCAGCCTCGGGGCGAGTGCACACACACACTTCCCTCGCCCCAAGGCCACTTCTACCGGCCGATCGAAGTGGCTGGTGACTGCATTTGGGGAGCTTCCCTTGCCTGAAAGAGACTGCCCTAAAGGCATGGGGACATGGGCAGCCACGCCTTGCCCTGAAGCAACTGGGGACTCTGCCTTCGGGGAGCTTTCGTCGGCCGATAGAAGCAGCCTCACTGTGAGATATGTGCGTATGGGCCGCTCTAGGTGGGGGAGGAAATTAAGTTACCCCCCAAAAGGCGGCCTAGCCATTTTTTCAGGGGTCAAAAAAAAATAAGGCCTGGCCTTATTTTGTGAGAAACACGGTATTAAGTGAGTTTTGCTCCATTATACAACCTTTCTTGCCACAGTTACAATTGTTATGTTAGTTATACCATTGTTAAGTGAATCCTGCTTCTCCACTGTCTTTGCTTGTCAAAAAGTCAAGAAAATATTATATGACCCTAGGACACTGCAACCATCATAAATACATGCCAGTTGCCAAGCTTCCAAATTTTGATCATGTGTCCATGGGGAAGTTACAATATTTATGTGAAAAACAGACATGTCTACTTTTTTGGTTCACCACTGATTGGTTCAAAATTGGGAAAGGAGTCCACAAGGCTGTATATTGTTGCCCTTTAACTATTTAACTTACTGGTGAAACTCAAAAAATTACAATACTGTGCAAAAGTTCATTTATTTCAGTAATGCAACTTAAAATGTGAACCTAATATATGAGATAGACTCATTACATGCAAAGCAAGATAGTTCAAGTTGTGATGTGTCATAATTGAGATGATTATGGCTTACAGCTCATGAAAACCCCAAATCCAGAATCTCAGAAAATTAAAATATTGTGAAAAGGTTCAATATTCTAGGCTCAAAGTGTCCCACTCTAATCAGCTAATGAAGCCATAACACCTTCAATGGGTTCCTCAGCCTTTAAATGGTCTCTCAGTCTGGTTCAGTAGGAATCACAATTATGGGAAAGACTGATAACCTGACAGTTGTGCAGAAAACCATCACTGACACCCTCCATAAGGAGGGAAAGCCTCAAAAGGTAATTGCAAAAGAAGTTGGATGTTCCCAAAGTGCTGTATCAAAGCATGTTAATAGAAAGGTATGTGGAAGGGACAAGTGTGGAAGGAAAAGGTGCACAAGCAGCAGGGATGACCGCAGCCTGGAGAGGACTGACAGGAAAAGGCCATTCAAAAGTGTTGAGGACTTTCACAAGGAGTGGACTGAGGCTGGAGTCAGTGCATCAAGAGCCACCACACAGACGGATCCTGGACATGGGCTTCAAATGTCATATTCCTCTTGTCAAGCCGCTCCTGAACAACAAACAATGTCAGAAGCGTCTTACCTAGGCTAAAGAAAAATAGAACTGGTCTGTTGCTCAGTGGTCCAAAGTCCTCTTTTCTGATGAGAGCAACTTTTGCATCTCATTTGGAAACCAAGGACCCAGAGTCTGGAGGAAGAATGGAGAGGCACCCACTGCAAGATGCTTGAAGTCCAAGTGTGAAGTTTCCACAGTCTCTGTTGATTTGGGGAGCCATGTCATCTGCTGGTGTTGGTCCACTGTGCTTCATTAAGTCCAGGGTCAATGCAGCCGTCTACCAGGAGATTTGGGAGCACGTCATGCTTCCTTCTGCAGATGAGCTTTATGGGGATGCTGACTTCATTTTCCAGCAGGACTTGGCACCTGCCCACACTACCAAAAGCACCAAAACCTGGTTCAATGACCATGGGATTACTGTGCTTGATTGGCCAGCAAACTCACCTGACCTGAACCCTATAGAGAATCTATGGGGCATTGCCAAGAGAAAGATGAGAGACATGAGACTGAACAATGCAGAAGAGCTGAAGGCCGCTATTGAAGCATCCTGGTCTTCCATAACACCTCAGCAGTGCCACAGGCTGATAGCTTCCATGCCACGCTGTATTGAAGCAATAATTTCTGCAAAAGGGGCCCAAACCAAGTACTGAGTACATATGCATGCTTATACTTTTCAGAGGTCTGATACTGTTCTATGTACAATCCTTGTTTTATTGATTGCATGTAATATTCTAATTTTCTGAGATTGTGGATTTCGGGTTTTCATGAGCTGTAAGCCATAATCATCTCAATTATGACAAATCACGGCTTGAACTATCTTACTTTGCATGTAATGAGTCTATCTCATATATTAGTTTCACCTTTTAAGTTGCATTACTGAAATAAATGAACTTTTGCATGATATTCTAATTTTTCAAGTTTCACCTGTATATGCAGAACACATCATAAGAAAGGCAGGGCTAGATGTATCAAAAGTTGGAATGAAGATTGCCGAGACAAATATCAACAACCTCAGATTGCAGAAAATACCACTCTAATAGCAGTCTTGATGTGGGTGAAGAAAGAAAGTGCAAAAGTTGGCTTGAAACTCAGCATTAAGAAAACTGGCAGACAGTACAGAATAATAAAAACAAGGACAAATAGGCTGAAAAACAGCTTCTATCCCAGGCAGTAGCTCTTTTGAATTCTGCTGTATAGTACAGTGTTGGTGCAGTGTCAGGCATATTCGGTTCAATGTGTGGACAGTGAAGGATGTGTGTTTGTGTTTATTTTCATGGTCATAGTCATGATGTGCACTGAAGATGGTGTTTGATTTCGTTGTACGAGGTGCAATAACAATAAACTAAACTAAACTAAACTAAACTAAACTAAACTAAACTAAACTAAACTAAACTAAACTAAACCTAAACTAAAATCACGGCATCCAACCATCTCAATTCCTGGCAAATAGATGGGGAAAAAGTTGAAGTAGTGAGAGATTTTATTTTCCTGGGCTCCAAGATTACTGCAGATGGGGACTGCAGCCAAAAAATTCAAAGACGCTTGCTCCTGGGGAGGAAAACTATGGCAAATCTAGACAATATACTAAAAAGCAGAGACATCACCCTGCCAACTAAAGTGTATATAGTCAAGGCTATGGTTTTCCCCAGTTGCAATGTATGGATGTGAAATCTGGACCATAAGAAAGGCTGAGCGCCAAATAATTGAGCCTTTGAGGCCTTTGAACTATGGTGCTGGAGAAGACTCCTGTTGAGTCCCTTGGACTTCAAGGTGATCAAGCCTGTCAGTCCTAGAGGAGATCAACCCTGACTGCTCTTTAGAAGGCCAGATCCTGAAGTTGAAACTCAAATACTTTGGCCACCTAATGAGAAGGAAGGACTCATTGGAGAAGAGCCTAATGCTGGGAAAGATTAAGGGCAATGGAAGAAGGGGACGACAGAGAATGAGGTGGCTGGATAGAGCCACTGAAGCAGTAGGACTCCAGAAGATGGTAGAGGACAGGAAGGCCTGGAGACGTTGTCCATGGGATTGTGATAGGTTGAACACAACTTCGCAACTAACAACCACCACTAACTTTGAACTGTCACTAAATGAATGGCTGTAAGTTAAGATTTACTTGTAGCAATTCTTAATGTTACAACAAATAATAAAACACTTATGCATTTGATACAAATTAATGAACTCCTAAGACATAAACTGTACATTTAGCTGTAGACTCGGGAAGTTATTTCAGAATATAGTATTGTAAGTCCTTAGTTCTTGGGGATATTTTGGGCAAACTCCCAAAAATAAAACAAAACTTGTAAAGTAACAGACTACAATGTCAGAAGAAAATATAGTTCAATAAATGTGTATTATTTATTAGTTCT